GGGATACTGAATAGTCAGTTTTGGTTGGAATGCAGGGTGTGTGAAGGGGAATGGTGTGAGATAAGGCCAGAACTATACATTGGAACCAGATTGTGGAAGGCCCTGGCTGCCAGGCTAGGTCATAGGCTCTACAAAGAAAAGGGAGTTAATAAATGTTTGTTGAATTGAATCCAGGTGGAGATAACTGACAACTTTCTTCAGGTCCCTCATTGTCTTTTCGTGTGATAGCTTTCATTTCCACTATCCCACTGGGTATAGCCAGTGGGCTGTGACTGAAAGGTGATACTTTGACCCTATAAATTCCAATAGTGGGAACAGGGGCAGAATGAGGCACTTTTCTCCCTAAAGGGACCATGGCCTTCCTGCAGCTATTTCTACCTTAACCTCTATTTCTTTTGCCTGCTTATCCAGTGACGTCTCTTGCTTTAGGTAATGAGCTGCTGCTCACCCACCAAGGCCAGCAAAAGTTGGGCTGAGGTCAGCCAGTGGCCCTTTCACACACATCCCCTTAGCAAAGAAGAAAGAGCTCAAAACTCTGCATTGGACTTGATTTAATTAATATTATGACACATTCCAGGAGATTATTCAGAAATGGGTCAAAGCATGAAGCAGGACATGACTGCAGGAGAGGAGGTGGCAGGATGGCACTGTGGGAAGATTCTTGGACTTGGATTCAGGAAGAGCTGGCTTTAAATCTGGTCTCTGATAACACAATGAGCTGTGTGACCCTTAGCAAGTCTCTCAACTTTCTTGAGCTTCACTTTCATTATAAATAACTGATATAAAATGTAAAATGGGGATAATAGTGGCTGCAGCATCTCCTCCACAGAGCTCAAATTAGATCATAATGTAAGTAAAGTAATTTATAAACTATAAAGTACTATATTAATGTCCATTGTTACATTATTCCCACTCTAATTAATTTACGGAAAACAGTAATCTTGCCCTTCCTTCCTGGGGACTTGTTTTAATCAATCAGTGTGTGCATTGGGGAGGAGGAAATAAGCATTTATATATCATGTACTATGTGTCAGGCATTGTGCTAAGTGCTTTTATCATTATCCTTAGTTGACAGCTGAGGAAACTGAGGCAGACAAAGGTTAAAGTGCCTTGCCCAGGACCACAGACCTAGTAAGTATCTGAGGTTGAATTTGAACTCAGGTTTTCCTGACTCCAGGTCCAGTACTCTATGCACTTTGACACCTACTTGACTCATCTCAGTTGGCAAGCATTCCTATTCATTCATTCATTTATTTAAATTATTTTATTTTTGATTAAAAATTTTAATTCTATCATTTAAAATTTTTTATTCATTTTGGACATTTTAAAAAAATTGAGTCCCAAATTCTCTTTTTCCCCTCTAGCTCCTTCCTCACCCATTGAGAAGACAAGCAATATGATATCAATAATATATATGAAATAATGCAAAACTTATTTTTATATTAGCTATACTACAAAAAAGGCAAGAAAAATTATAATTCAATTTGCACTTAGAGAACATTTTTCATCATGAGTCCTTTGGCGTTGTCTTAGATCAGTATACTGATAAGAGTAGCTAAATCTTTCATAGTTGATTATTGTTACAATATTGCTGTTACTGTGTACAATGTTATGGTTCTGTTCACTTCACTTTGCATCAGTTCATATAAGACTTCCCAGGCTTTTTTTCTGAAAGTGTCCTGCTCATCTTTTCTTATAGCACAATAGTATTCCATCACAATCATATATCATATCTTGTTCAGTCATTCTCCAATTGATGGGCACTCCCTCAGAACAAGTATTTATCAAACCTTTATTATGTGCCAGGCACAGTGCTAAATATTGGCAATACAGAGAAAGGCAAAAACACTTATCTTTGACCTTGTATTCTAATGGGGAAGAAAACATGCAAAAAAATTCCAATATCAATCTATTTATCTATCTATCTGTATGTCTGTCTGTCTGTGTGTTTAGAGAGACAGACAGACAAACAAATACTGGAGGGTGATCTCAGAGGGAAGGCACTAACAGGGAATGAAGATGTATAGGACCATGAAAAGCCTCTGGCCGATGGTGAGATTTGAGCTGTCTTGAAGGAAGACAAGGAAGGCAAGAGGTGAAGGTGATCAGGGAGCATGGTGAGGCATGGGCACAACTTGTGGAAAGGTACTGAGTAGGAATATGGAGCTTCACTTGGGAGGAGCAAAAGAAAGGTCAGTGTAATACATCACAGAATACATGGAAGGAAACAAATTGAAAGAGGACCGGAAAGGTAGGAAGGTAGCAGGTTGTGGATGGTTTTAAAAGACATCGGAGGATTTTATACTTGATCCTGGAGGTAATAGTGAGCCACTACATTTTATTGAGTGTCGGGGGGAGGGTGGGTGATGTTTAATCTTGTGCTTTAGGAAAGTCATTTTGGCAGCTTATCGTGGGATGGATTGTAGTGGGGAGAGACTTCAGACAGGGGACTAACTAGAAGTCTCTTGTGATTGTTCAGGTAAGAGATGATGAGGGCCAGTGCTGGGGTAATGACTGTGTGAGGGGAAAAAGAGGATATATCACATATAAGAGACCTTATAAATGTAGAAATGGCAAGACTTGACCACAGAATGAGAGACTGCCAGAAAGAATGAGGATGATAAAGAGGTTTGGAGCATGTGTGATTACAGAATCTTGATAGTAACATGGAACCTCAGAAAGGGGGAGGGTTTTGGTGGAAAGACAACAAGTTCTGTTTTGGATATGTTGAATTGGAGTCCTGCCATCAGTTCCCAGTATTTAGCAAAGTTCTGAGGTTCAGTTGCCTGTAGCTCAGATTTTAAAGTCAAGATCATAAGCAAGGAACACAAGCTAAAAGAGTAAGGCAATAGAAAAGCTGGAAGAAACCTCAGAGACCATTCCTTTCATTTTACAGGTGAGGAAACTGAGGCCCCTCCAAAAGCTAATGACTTACCCAGGGTCACACCTACTAGTAAGCATCAAAGGTAGCATCTGAACCCAGGGCAGCTAGGTATAGTAGTGGATAGAGTCACTTAGGCCTGTCTAAGGGCAGCTGGATAGAGCAGTGGACAGAGTGCCATGCTTGAGTCAGGAAGACTATTCCTGAATTCAAACTCGGCCTCGGATACTTACTACCTCTGTGACCCTGTGCAAGTCACTTAACTCTGTTTTCTTCAGTTTCCTCATCTGTAAAATGAACTGGAGAAGGAAATGGCAAACCATTTCATTATCTTTGCCAAGAAAACCCCAAATGGGGTCATGAACACGACTGAACAAATTATTATTATGATTGTTAATCACCACCACCACGGTTCTCTGAATCCTGAGCTGAACGCTCTTTGAAACCCATTCAAACCCAGCTCTGCTACTCACTGCCCAAGTGACCTGGGGTAACTAACTCACTCAATCACTTTTAGCTTCACTTTTCTAAACTGTGTAATGAGGGGGGTTGTACTCGACAATCTCTAAGACTGCTTCCAGCCTTAAACCATCAATTCGGTGATGGTGAAAAAACCAGGTCGCTGTACTTGGGAGAAGCAGGAGGTCCCTACTCCAACTTCAGCTCTTGCCAAGAGATGCACCGCTTGAATGCAAAGCTTTGAACAGCTGCGAAATGAGAGCAGCTGACAAAACGCTGGACTGGGGCTATTGGGAAAAGGGAGTTTATTTGAGAAGACTGACGTGCCAAGAAAGGAGGCAGAACCTGACACTGCTTTCCAAGCCTAGCATATCTTCATTGACACAAGAGTCAATTCGAGTAGGGCGAAATGGATCAGTCTAACCAGGCACACCCTCCCTCTTGGGGAGGGAACGGTTACCTAACCTCCGTTCGGTTTTCGTTTTTGGTTCCCTCGCTGGCAAAAGCAACCGATACGAACTTTCTTGAAAGGTAGGTAGTAAAAAGTTTTAAAACTCCAAAGGAAAAAAAAAAAGCTAAAAACCGCGGTGCTTACTGTACTGGATTGCAAATTTCCCTGCTCGACAATTCTCTTTCACTTCAAGAAAGAGTTAGGAATGGTCACATTTCAATGACCTTGTCCCAAGCAAGTTGGAAGGGGGCGGGGCGGCGAGGTTCCACTTGGGCTGTATTTGCCCCGCGGGATTTAAACTCTAGTCTTCGATTTTGTGCGTTAGTAAAAATCCAAAAAAAGCCGTAGAAAGCAAAGGTGATACTGTTGTGGGCCAGGCACTAATAAGTCCCGTGCCCACTTTAGGATGGCCGCTGGCTGACTTCCTGGGGATGGGGACGAGGAAATGCCGGGCTCATACCTCTAGAGCTGAAAGAGGCCTTGAAGGCCATTTGATCCAACCCCCTCATTTTCGTCAGCCAGTCAACAAGCATTTATTAAGCGCTTACTGTGTGCTAGGCAGGCACCATTTTGAGGATCACAGGAAATAACAAATCACTCTATCAATGCTAGCACATAAAGGTCAAATGATTTACCCAACTTCACACAAGTAACAAGGGCGAGAGCGGAGTTTCGAACCCAGTATCTGAGTCCACAGCCAAAGCCCACTACAGCTCCCCATTGCTGTAGCAGGGGCGTGTGTGTGTGTGTGTGTGTGTGTGTGTGTGTGTGTGACAAATCGTGCAGAACGGAGCGCCTCGTGCCGTGGCTCATTAGGCTAGGGCGTCTTCCATTCAGTTCTAGTTCAAGTTTCGGAGGAAAGTTCCTCCCTCTGCGCTCGGCTCCTCCTACTTCACCTTAGGAACCGTCCGCCCTCGCCGCGCTGGAGCAGGCTCAGCGACTACCTGGAGTCCCGAGAGTCCAGGCGGCGGTGGCGGGAGACGCATCGAAGCGCCGGACGGTCAGAGGGGACCTAGAAGCGGGGCCCCAGACGAGCTGAGAAGGACGCGGGCCGGCGGCTGGAGGGTGGGCCAGTGCGTGCACACACCTCGAAGCCGGCTGGGCAGGTTGTGGCCCCTCCTCTCAGGCTCTTGTTGCCCTGAGCCGGGGGTGGAGGCGAGGGCTGGGCCTCTGGAGTGGGCGCGGCCCGGCAGCTGGCCTGACGCACCTCCCGAAAGTTCCTCTGGAGTGCCTCCTGCAGCCAACTTTCTTCTAGGAGTCCTACCAGCTCCCCGGTGACCTCCCGAGAGTTGTAGCCCCTCCTCCCCGGTGCCCCCGCAAGGAACCGGGGTCCCAGGCTTGCAGAGCGGGTTGTCCGCGGGGCTACGAGAAACATCTGGCTTTTGCCCCTTCCCGGTGATTCCTTCGCTCCGGTAGCGGGGCCGGCAGCTTTGGGAGCGGCTGAGCCCGGAGCGTCAGCCAGCAGCTCCCGGGCCCAGTCTCGCTCGTGCTTTCCTCCTGGCCAAAACTTTCTGAAGCCGCTGGACGCTCAGGGCTTATTTCTTCCAAAGTGTGCGGGACGTGTCAGACAGGAAGGGATCCTGCTGCGCCTGGTATCTGCTGGAGGAGGAGGGGCAGTAGCCTCTCTCCCCGTTCCCATTCCCAGGTAAGTTGCGCCTTTACTATACTTTTGCCACGCTGCGGAGTTTTTTTGGAGGGGGAGTAGGGTGAAAGTGCCTGTGTATTGCGCCCTATAGCTGGCATTGCGGCAGTCTGCCTGCCCTCCCCAAAAGAATTGCATCAAGGGTAAGAATTGGCTTCTCCTTACCAGGAAGGGGCTGCCGTGCAGCGGGGGCTGGAACCCCAGGAGGTGGCTGTTACTGGGTTACAGCCCAGGGGAGATGGGGAAGTGTTGTTTTGAAGGAGGTGAAAGCCTTCTTTTCTCTCCACCCTCGGGAAGACCACTACTTGGTCTATAGTGCTAGTAAGGAGGTAGCCTGAGCACCGAGGAAGAAAAGGGTTTAGGGTGGTCACGTTCCCATTGCAACCCCACAGGCTCCCCCTCAGCCATCCTGGACCATCTTCCCCTTTCCAAACAAACAAAGGAGGTGTCTCTGAGGTTTGAAGCCACCTCCTGGGTGTAGTAGGGACATGCAAGTTGAGTTGACAGAGCTCTGTTGCCACACTTCTTAAAGGCCCTTGTAAAACTGGATGCAAGTCCACTCAAACCCCTTCTTGGCAAGGGTGGCCCCAGTTCCCTTTCTGCTTAGGATGTGGAGACATGGAAACTGCTGCTGAGTTGGCTGGAAGGCTTGTGGTTTGCCGATGTGGGTGATGGTGGCAGCGGTAGGATTTTTTTCCTTTGACCCCTGGAATCATGTCAATACGCATGATGAATAAACCCAGCCCTCTCCCTTACTCCTAGACTGTCTCTCCCAGGAAGAAGCAGCCTGATATGCCTAGAGAATAGGAAAAAGTTCCCAGGGGAGTTAAGCATCCTTAAGCAAAGGAGGAGAAAGGGCCATGAGGGGAGGGGGGAGCTATGCCAGTATAATTGTACTGTTTTCCAGTATATTGGATAGGTTCTTTGGCCTCACCCTTAAAGGGCCATGCTACCCACGTCATCTCATTAAGAAGTCAGCTGCTCTCTGTTAATAGCCACAGGAACTCTGATGAAATTATGTAGGTCATTGAAAATAATTCCTGCTTAATCGCCTTTATCCTTTTATTAAAGAGAGAAAAGATTTCCTCCTATAATGCTCCATGCCTGCTTTGCCAGGGTAACCTGCATGTCCTTATTCATTGGACACTGCTATTCTGAACATGATTGCTAATTCCTGAAAAAGAGCATACCTAGAATAATGCTGAGTCCCTGAAACTGGCAACATCATCATTCTGTGCATCTTAATCTTCCATGCATATGCAGGGAATAGTCAACAGATACTACTATTATTGTTGTTGTTATTATTTTCACCTAGAATACTTTCAGTTAAAGTTCATTACTGAAAGAGCTCACTTTTTTATGGGTAGAAGAGGTTATTGTATTCATCGTTGTTAATTGTCATTGCACTCTGCTTTCCTTAGGGACAGTTCTTAAGGGAATGAAAAGCTAGGCTAGGCTGCACTAAAAATATGGTGAGTGACAGATGGAGAATGAACCTAGGATCATAGATTGAGAGCTGGAAGAAACCTTAGAGGTAATTTAGTGCAACCCTCTCATTTTATAGTTGAGAAAACTAAGTGCTTAGTAAATGCTTATTGGCTGATTTGCCTAAAGTCAAATTTGCAACTGGCAGAAGTGAGATCCGAACCCAGATTCCCTGCCTCCAAACCCACCATTCTTTCCATTGCACAATACTACCTCTAAAGTCCCTTTGAACCTTTATGAAAGGGGCCATCAGACTACAGGCCATCCCAGTTCTTCGAGTGGCTGAATGCCTTTTTCCCCTGGCCATATTAGTGACCAAATATAAGTGAAAGTAATATAACCTTCAAATGTGAGTGAACTTTTGTCATAGGATCAGTAACTGCTCAGTTTACAGATGGAGAAATTGAGGCCCGGGAAGCATTGCTCATAGTTAGTTACATAAAACTAGGATTTGAATCCAAGTCCTCTGCCTCCAAATCCCTTACTCTTACCCCAGGAAGATAGTGTTCTTTGAATTCCAAACTAATGAGTCACATCATAGTTATGTTCTTAGGGTGTCAGCTCCCGATCTCTGAACTACTACCAGCTAAAAGTGTTCTCTTTAGGAGAGAACTTGTCCTGTCACGGCCTCTGTTACCCACTCACTTATTGGCCCACTATATTACATTATTGGCAAAAGGGATGAATTCTCAGAGACTTACCCTCCACCTCATATTCTGACTCATTGTACATGACTTGAATAGCTGAAGAGTTACTAACAAACACTCCTTCAAATAGAGGGGTCCCTTATTTCGTGGAGTAGTGATGCTCCAACAAAGTTGACCGAACAATGAGCACTATTTATTATTAACTCTATACAGTTGTGGTTGTAGGGCTGTTAGGTGGCACAGACTCTTACTAGTTGTGTCACCCGGGGCAAGTCATTTAACCCTATTTACCTCAGTTTCCTCATCTGTAAAATGAGCTGGAGAAGGAAATAGCAAACCAATCCAGTATCTTTGCCAAGAAAACCCCAAATTGGGGTCATGACTGAAAAACAACTGCACAACAACAACAACAATTTGAAAACCTTTAGCAACAAAGGGGTTAAGATGGTGGATATTCCCAAGGTTTGGCCCATGATCTGCTTACTACTTTGTGGTCAGAACTTTGCAGCCCTTAGATTCACAGAGCCACAGAATGTTAAATCTGGAAGGGGATGGAGACATGGGAAGCTGCAGGGTATGGTGGAAAGAGATCAGGAACTGGAATTGGAAGAGGTGCTCTGACACTTATTAACAATGTGACCTCAGGCAAATCCCTAGCCTCTCTCAGTCTCCTCATCTGTAAAATGGGGATAATAATACTGTACAGGGTTGTTGTGAGGCCCATAGACATAAATAGCATTGTAATCTTGAGCACTTATGCTAAATGTAATCTAATCTTTTGTTATTGTTGTTGTTACCCCAGACTCTCATTTTACAGATGAGTAACTGAGTCCAAGGGAAATTAAAGAATTTGTCTGTTGGCCACTTGACACTTTGCCAAGGCAAGTGTTAATTCCTCATCTCTAAACCTAGTATACCCATGAATTTCTTCCATGTTTGTTGTTGTTTTGTCTAATATCCTGAAGTCCTGTTTCCACACTCTGTATTCCTCACCCCAAAGTCCTGACAAGTTCACTCTCATCTTTTTGGTCTGAATGTTTATAATGTCTAGTTAGAGTCACATTATGTTTCCCAGCCTGAAATTTCCGTAAGTTTGAAACTTTGGGTTCTATAAAATGAACTCATCCCCTGCATTATCAATTCTTTAAGTTCAAAATGGGCTAAGTTAGGGTTTATTGTTAGTTTGTTTTCCTGGTGGTGACTCAGTAGTTGTGCCTAGGTTTAAACTGCTTAAAGACGCCAAGATACATGTTAGAGCAGAGATCCTCTTTTTTTTATATGTCTGGGTCTTACAAGGTCTCAGAATGGATTATTTTGTGAAACATTTATTTAAAAACTATTTTTCATGTTTATATCTCCTTCATTTCTTAATATAGTTATCTTCTTCTTACTCCCAGAGAACCATTCCTTATATTTAAGAGGAAAAAAAGGAAAGAAAAGCCATTCAACAAAATTAACCAATACATCAGTAAAGTTCTATGGTAATACGATATTCCACATCCGTTGTCCCCTACCTCTGTCAAGCAGAGAGGGAAGTGCATTCTCATTTCTCTTCTTCTCGGCCAGATTTGGTCACTCTAAGTATACAGACTTCAACCATTTACTTATTTCTTATTTATTCCTTTATCCATCGATCCACTAATTTATTCAACTAGTTATTTATCCATACATTTATTTATTGTTGGTTTATTGCCCATTTACATGGTTGTAATCATTGTTTTCCTGGTTTTACTTATCAAGATGGATTCTTGATAATCGGCACAGGGGGTAAGGTAGAAGTTGGACTTGAAGCTTGGTGTAGACATCTAAACAGGATGACTCTGCTCTAGACACATCACCTCCATCTGCTTGGTACCCTTACCTGCCTCCCCTCCCTCCTTCCTAGGTGATTGGCATCTACCTGCCTCTATCACCAAAGTGAGAAACCAGATTCTGAGGCAGAGACTTCCCCTCAGCACCTCCTGGCAAGAGCCTGGCATGATAGGTCCTCCTTCCTCTTCAGGATTACCATGTTCTGCAGATTTTCTTATCCAAGATCTGGAAGCTCTCTTGTGGGCTGAGAGATGGATGCATCCTGCCCCTTGGGAGACCTAATTTTAATCTTATCTTCCTGTTGACTGTGATGCTAGTATGGTCTTCTGGATGCCCTCTCACCACCAGTTCCCTTGTCCTTCTCCTCTTTGGTGCCTCAAGTTAAGTGCCTTCTCTAATATAAGTTAAAACAGGCTGAATGAGCAGCAACAACAACAAGCTATCCTTTAGCTTTGTTTGTAAAGCACTTTATATATATATATATAAAAACATAAACATATATACATTATTTCATTTGATCTCACTGAGTTGAATGTAAGTAGGTATTATTATTATATGCATTTTACAGACAAAGAAAGAGGCTGGGAGAGGTTAAATGACTTACCCAGGCAGTATTTGAACTCAGGTTTTACTGATTCCATGTTCACTCTTTCCACTGCTTTTAGCATCATTGCCTGGTTTACTTGTTCTACTGAAATCTCCAATTCCCCCAAAAAGCAGCTGCAGTAGAACACAAAGGCTCTTTAGTCTCTAATCAAATCACTTACTTTTTAATTACATATATGTGATTATATATGTATTTTAAATCATATCTATATAAATATAATGAAACATTAAGTGATTACAGTGAGGGAGACTTCAGGAGAAAAGACAAACTAGTGATGCTAAAAGCAGTAGATAGAGTGAACTTGGGATTGGGAGAGAGAGAAGGAGGAAGGAAGGGAGAGAGGGGCTGTTGGAGGGAGCTAGGTGGGCGGAGAGAACCTGGAGCTGTGATTTCAGTAGTGTAGGGAGCTCTGGGTTGAGGAAACTCCTTCTGCCAAGTAAATCAGCCCCTTC